TTAAAAACAATATGCAACTTAATTACAGACATGCTTGCATTTTCTGTAGCAGTCTAATACGTGCAGCAGACAGTGCACAGAAAAGCTTGATTTGTGAACTTTACAACTAAACTCAGCTTAATACTCGTGAAACCAATGCTCGTTTGAAATTAAGTAGTTTTGCTTTAAAGGACAGTCATGAAACAGTCATTAGTAAGTAGCTGAGGGCAGCATTTAGCCTGCAGAAGCTTTATTACTGGAAGTGACTCGTATCAAGGGAGGAACTCCAAGCTGAATCAACTTTTCATCTGTTTTTTGTGATGCGGTGGCAACAAGAGCAACGGCACATACACTCAGAAAGGAAGCCTATTTGCCCAGCCACTCCAAGGTACAACCGGTTGTACGTGGAAAATGAGGGAAGCCAAGAATGGTCTTCATCATTCTCACACACTGATTTGCAATGTACTCTTGCAATGTAAGAGACAGAGAGAAAGGTGTGGTCTGTCCCTTTACATTATGTTGTTTCTTATCTACTTTGACCAGTATCCTTTTTGTCCAAAAGCTGCATCTTTCTCTGTGTGTCTGATGCCTGCTAAGAAAGGAGGACCGATTTTCCTGCAGGTCCTTCAACACTAGAACTTGGGAGCATGCATAATAGCACTGTGTTTTTCCAAGCATTTGCAGTCTGGCTGACGAGTATGAAAAAGTACTTATTCTGACATGGTTCAAAATCTCGATCCTTGCAGTGTCGCCCAAGTTTGGTTAGGGTGCAGAGGCCCAACCAGAAGAATGCTAGTTCAAGCTGGCTCTCAAAGGAGATTCGTGGCTAGCAGAGTCTTAACAAAAGAAGCTCGGGTCCTGGTGGGTCAGTCCCTTTTCAAAGCACAACACACAGAGTCCGAGATCAATTTAAAAAAATACAGTTCCTATTTTATGTCCATTAATGACAACTGGTCTGTAGCAGCTCTGGCTCAAACACGCTCTTTGGCTACCATTAGCAGTGCTGCAATGACAGCATTCCCCTACAAGCTTGCTTTCCTTGGTTCTCCTTTGCAGAGTAAGAGGAAAAGCACTCATCAAAGGTCTTTCCAGAGATCTAGTGTGTCAGGTTAGATGGATGTGTGTTGAAACTTCTCTCCTTTGAGCTAGGCAGTGGTAGCCTGCCTGCTTGATACACAAACTGGAATGACTGGTGGAAAACCTCATCTGAAAACAGATGATCCCGGCACTGAACTGCCTTCCTCCTCCTCAGAGGGCTCCATCTAGCCAACTTTGATGCCTGAGAAGCAAGTAATATACTCAATTTCATTTTTTCCCCAGTCTTAGACGTTCTCCAGCTCATTCCTTGCCAGCAGCTGAAACTCCATTTTCAAAATTACTTGCAAGCTGTAGTACTCTCTTGCAGGGTGAAGAGACATCTTCTGCAATACTCATCCAGAAGAAAAGAAAAATGACATTTTACATCACAAGACCATAATACATGCTTTGTTCCCATCCACAGTGTGAGAAAGCCATCCTCCTTTTGGTCAATTTGTGCATGGGTTTGCTGATAAAGGGTCTGAAAGGACCTGTCCGTTCTTTTCCTTAAGTGTGCAAATCCCTGACTGCCAGCTTTGGAAATGCATTACAAGACCCGATGCCTTTGTTCACTTTGCCTGTGACTCACATCAGCTAGAGAAAAATAGCTGAAAATGAAAGTTTAAAGAAAAAGCCCACACTAAAACAATTTACCAAAAGTGCCAACACTTTCAGTATTGTATTTCAGTATTCAGTATTAGTCATTAGTTTGCATGCCAGGGCCCGGCTGGGGCTGAAGAGTGATCTCTTTCGGCCCAAGTTACAGCTGCGCTACCGCCAGCTTTTCAATTCGCCCACCAGTTCCCTCGGGGAGAGGCCGCAGGATTACGGAGTTCTTACAGGGCAAAAGTAACCCCCCTGCAAATCCGAACACACAGAGTGGAGAGCTGGGCCTGAGCATTGCTGGGCAAGAACTGGTTCCCAGCTGTATTAAACGCAAGAGGAAGGTACACGGAGAGACGATCAGAAGATGGCCTCAGCCAAGACGTATCAAGCAATTCTCCGTCGTGTGGAAGAATGCAGCCGATTGCATGCCGGGCTTCAGAGCGGTGTAATTTCTTGGGTACCAAGCACCGTACTCACACACCAGCCCCTGTCCCCATCACGCTGGTGCGAGGATCGTGTTTGTCACCTGTAATCAGGTTACAGAAGAGCTTCTAAGTGTATGCTGGACTTGTAAAGAGAAGATTTTAGACTTGCACAATGAATAGATTTCAGAACAGGGCGGAGAAAGCTCGTGCACGCAGTTCAACAGGTACCCCCGGGAACGTGCTTCATTTGGGCTCAGAAGGCGGCACCTCCTTCAGGCAGTTTGCAAGGCATTGGGGTTTTTTGTTTTGTTTTGTTTTTGGTTTTGTTTTTTTTTTTTTTTTAACAACTTCCCAGTATATTTAGACCATGTTCAAAATCTGTTGATTTCTCTGGACCTAGAATGACTGCATAACACACTCTTTGGTAAAAATTGTGTGATATTTCCTCACGAGGAACTCCTAGTTAAAAGAATTCAACACAACGTATAAACACTCATATACCAGGGCTGTCGAGTCCCTGTATTGAGTTTGTGCATCTATAAATGACCGGTGGCTTCCCGTAGCAGCATGAATCTAGGATGTAGTATGGATTTATATTGCCAGAGCTTTCCCAGTATTTTATTTTTAAACAAGAAGTGCTGCTACATTTCACAGCTGAGTTAACCAAACATTTCCCACCTTTCTCCTCTCTCCCCATGTAATTTGGTTTTCACCTGCAGTGTTTTGTGTTGCTGCAAACATGAAATTGTATTCCTAACATCACAAGGTCTGTATTAGTCCCTTGTTAAAAACAATACTTTGTAAGTAATGAGTGTGCTAATTTTAGGAAAAATTGAAAAAACCCCAAACAAAACCAATGTGCTTTTACATTTAAAGCAACTTCTTTGTGCTACATAGCTTGGCACACGTGGCCCTGCATCCATTTTTGCTCAGGTGACATAAGGTCCCTCTTCCCAAGTGCATCCCAGACCATTTGCTACAAGCAGCCAGACAAGACCAGAGCAAGGAAGGACAGAGAAATTCAGCTCGTCTTACCTGCCCGATTGCTTGGTGACTTTGCTGCTACAAATTTTTGCAGACAGCACGGAGGACGTAGGATGAAAAAGTGAAAAGGGGAGTGCAGAGTGCATGAGCTGCTTCACCAGAGCAGCAGAACGACAAGCGCTTCCCTTGAGGTGACACACGCTAACTGCAGAACACACAAGTCCCACAGGTTGTTCTTCACCTGTGTGCAGACCTCCGGCACTGAAGGACCGGTTAGGCCTTGTGCCATCTTTTCTTGTGGTCTGTCAGGGAGGTCCCTCATTCAGTGTACCTCTAGCAATAAACCAAACCACAGACAACACCACACAATGAGGAGGAACACTGACAACAAACCACACAGAAGCCAGTGAAGTTATATGACGACAATGACACTGTATTGTGAATGTCAATTCATGAAGCAGCAACGCTCCACTTTAATGTGAGTGTTTAAAAAAAACCTCCTCCGGAGGGCATTCAGAGCACCAGCTAAACCAGGCTCTTGTTCCAATGGCTCCAACAAAGTTTCTCTTTCTTCTTTTCCCAAAGAAAATGCTGCTGAAACAGAAGACTACCTGCCTGGGGAAACTGAAGTCAGCTTCCACCTGAGGCTTACTCTGGCATTTTCACATCTCAGTGCACAACTGCATTATTGTTTTCCTCCCCTCTACAGGCTGCACTGAAAATGTCAATCCAGCACAGCATTAGTGATTCCAGGGCAAAACAGGTACAAGTAAAAGGTGTATCATATCTATCCATCCTCTCCCAAAATATTTCGAAAATAATAAATGCATCATAACCAGAACAAGAAGGTTGAAAATTTTTATTTGCACTTAGCATGTACAGGAAAGATCAAAACAAATATTAAAAGACAGCATTTGTAAACAAATATATTTCACAAAAAATTATATACTATCAAATTTGCTCTGAAAAAATTCATGGTTATAGCTGTTTATAAATGTGTATTTATCAAAATCAAGTTAAAAACTACTTCATTTTTAAAATATCCCAAATGACGATTCATTCATTCATTCCAACAGCTTCAGAGAGACCACAGATGTAAGGCCTAATTAAAACAAATGCATGAATGAAAATGGCACTATCATTTCCAGTTAAAAAAAAAAAAAAAAAAAAATCGGCAAGTGATCAAAATACCAGCCAAGCCTAAAGACCTAGGTTTGTAAAATATACATTCAACTTTGCAAATATCTAACTTAAAAAAAAGATAGACCTATTTCACTGGATTGTCCTCATCTTGTCGTGTACCGATTATGAGCTGTGCTTCTGAATCCACTCAGAGAAAAGTTATCAGTAGGTAGTTTTACGCGATTGTATAGTTCACTTCTATAATCACATTAAAAAAATAAGAAAACAGCAGCACCTTTTAGCAAGGATTCATTTTTAACATTCTTGCCTTTATAGCAGCAGGTATGGTTTTGGGGGATGCTATCATAATCAGTAGGGCAAAAAAAGGAATACACAAACTCCATGAAGTTCCCTATTCTTGTTTTCAAAGTTAGGCAAGCACCTCCATTTTTGCTGCAGAACAGAAAAAGTAAAAACAAATGACACCCAAATCTATGACTACCTCAGCAGGCTCCCTTTGTTGGTAGTCCACAAGCCATTTTGATTGCCAGCGTGAATTCTGTTTTTTCCTCCCTCCAATCTCCTACTTGCATGTGAACTAAAAAACGAAGTTTCTCAAACTTCATCTATTAATTTGACTCAAAAAGAAACAAGATAACAAAAATAACTAAGGCACAAATGGCTGATCTTCAACAGCAGGCAGAGGGTCACAGATTCAAAAGTACGGTAAAATGTAAATCCCCAGAAATATTTCTGATCCTGGGGTACTGAAAATTCTTACCAGCTTTCACAAAAGGTTTTCCAAGATTTTTTACAAAGATATGGAAAATACTTTTCCCAAGAATGTCCATGAACACTAGACAAGGATGGATGTACATACAAAGACACACACACTTTATGCACAATACACTTTGAACATACTGCAGACAGACAAGGATCATGGAATGCAATGATCGTCTAAGATGGCAGGTGAAATGAAGGTGACTGTTTTTCAGAGAGTCGTCATGAGTTTATCTTGGTACACCATACTTTGGACTCCTCCTAAATTCTTCTGGTTCTGTTCCTGGATATATCGTAAATTGCTGTCCTCTCCACTTGTGGGGGGTTTCCAATATGGCCTGTCATCATGATAGGGTGGCCTGTACCATTTGCACAGTTATTGGTTAGTGAGAGATGGAAGTAAACTTATGAGCGCTACACAGTAACATGAGTTCATCCAGCAAGTGCTAAGCATGCATACGGTGTGATGGGCAGCTATCAGCAAGGGAGGGAAACGGTGGCAGACCTATAGGTCTGATGCAGAAGCCACCGTAGCAACTGGGAATGTTTTAGGCAATTTGGAAAGGCTTTGAACCAGAGCTCAGTCATCAAAAACCCTCTCTGTTTTCAAGGGTTACGGACAAGTATCGTGCACCAATGCTCCTGAATCCCAGAGGGATGGTGGGGAGCGAGGAGGGAGCCTAAAGGAAAACTAAATGCCTACATCAAACAAGTAAAATAAACCGTACCATGCAAAAAGTTGAGCTTATGAAAATATATCCCTAAAGCCTGAAAAATTAAGAAAGGCAATCCTACTAAGAATGAAAATTGCCCTTCTGTAAATACTGCCATACATTCAGCACTGGTGCGGTTAATTACAGTGAAGCAGCCTACAAGTTATATAGGTATGTTTTGTTAAGATGAACACCTAGAGTCTATAGCTAGTACAGGTATTTCTCTGTGACTATGTAGTGAAACTTCCAAAAGTACTACTAGGAAAAGTATTTTCTCCTTATTTGTTTATTACTTATTGCTGCTTCACGATATTAACTTCAACCGCTCCTACAGTGTCTCCTGAATCATTTGGGGGTGGTGGTGGGGGAGTTAATAAATAAATACAAATTTTTAACAGTATGTAGGAAACCACAATATGTAAGATTCCCTGATTACCATCTGAAATTGCACTTTGTGTTTTTCTTTTTTTTAATACAGGCAGGTTTAGATTTTACCTCTTTTTGGAGATATTCTAAAGTTACATAATAACAACTGTTAAGAATTAATTTTCTCAGAAGACTGAATGCTATGCTAATTGCAAACAAATAATTTAACTAAAAGGATTTTACTAAGACGACTGAGACACAATTCTACATATTATTTCACGAATTATTCAACAAAAAACCTGTATATAGCAAGTATTGCACAGGTAGTTTCATTTCAGCCCTTGGCCCATTCTAGACTTGCATGCCCAGCAGAAAGAATTTAATGCATCTGTGATTTAATCTCAAATTCACAGTCAGATGGATTAAACTTTCTCAACATCAAACTATCCAAGATACTGAACATCCAACTGTTCCACTTGGACTCCACGTTAGAATAACTTGAAGCTTCCGCTTTAAGCACACATTTAAACACTTCTACCTGACTGGGACAAAAATTCTGAGCACCTTTTCTACAGAGCTTGCACAACCGAGCTTTTAAGTATGTTTTTTAGACTTACAAGTCTAGCTATAAAAAAGCCATTGTTCATATTTCACTGACCTTAATCTTTGCCCAGGCAGCAGGAGGGGCCGATGGGGGAGGTTGTCTACACACATTACAATACATTATTGTGCTTATTTCAGTATCACTCTGCTCCAGGGTGAACTACTTGGCTTTAAAAAGTTACAGACTAGTATCGTAAGTGAAGAAATCTTTAGAAAAATTTCAGCAAAACCTGAAACTATTTGAAAAATAATTAACGTCTCTCGCCAATCACTTTTTTTGTAATGTGAAATTGTACATTTTAAATCACACACAAAAAAATGGACACATAAACCCTAAAACCAGGAAGAATCTTGAATACAAAGTACAGGCAAAGTTAATTACCCAATTTAAACAGTCTTCCATTTCTAGCATAAATTTAGTATCTGCTTTACTGCTGTAAGCTAGGAATTTTGAGATGACAATCAATATGTCTGCTTCTCTGCCTAGTAAGTATTTCTAATAACATACTTGCTTTTTTCCTGCATTCTCAGACTCAAACTTGGACCAAATTGTCTTTTTATCCATTCTAAGCTCAGCCTCATCTCCAGAGCCTGCCTACGCTAAGAACAAAGTCTACCTATTCTGATGTAAGAATGTAGAGGTAAAAATGTAAGACGAATAGGAATGAAGATTAGGGTATTGGTAATTTTCAGTCAAGACAGTAATTATTTGGCTAAAAAACTGAGTAACCTAAAAAAGTTACTTTTTATTAGGATAAAATAGCAGCTGATTTTAATCACATGTACATGCACAGACACATATCCACCAGCAGGTGTGTGCCTCCACACACTGTATGTTCCACTAAGCTGGTTCTAACTTGGACTGAATTTCTTCCAAAATTTCTTTTCACTCAATTTCTCTCATTACTATTTACAAAATTCAAAAATAGGCGACAAGATAGCACAATAGCACATACTGGAATATTTTTGTGAAACAGTCCTCAAACACTCAATGTTATGATTTCACTAACACTGTAAAGTGCCTGATACACTGTTCCATGTACATGTTATTCTTCCATATACATTTCTGCAAAAGATGAAAACAAGTGCTGCAATGCAAGAATCTGCTCATTCATAACCTAACTGTACCCTAAAATGAGTTTCTTCTTTGTCTTAGGAGATTAAATACTGATCAAACTGCAATTAATTTTATGGAAGCTACTGAGCATCTTCCCATCCAACACACTCCCTACAGAAATACACTGAAGTTGTACTTCAAATTATGAATTAAAAATCAACCTGAAAATTTTTTCATCAAGGAGGACATTCCAAAGCAAAATCTAAACTCATTTAACATTGCCTCTACATCACATGTTTCTAACTTCTGTTTGCTTTTCAGGTGCAGAAAATCACCCAATATGTCCACCAAAGCTTCATACCAAGAAATTATGATAGAGAAAGAAGTAATCATCTTTTTCACGAAGTGAAGATTGCTTACCTTACATTCACAGGGGTATGTGGATGCCAGTGTGGCTGAGCAGGATGTATATTAGGATGATACTGTGGCTGCAAGCAAAAACATTGAACCTGGTTAATGAAATCATATAAAACTCCCTATTAAGTTCAACTTTTTATTTTCTTGGGGCCATGAGGAACGTGCTCCTTGTGAGCCCTAGAAACCCCACTGTTTCAGACCTTCTCCCATGCCATTTAGCATATACGTGAGACTTCTTGGTGATGAGCTCGCTCGTTAGGACACACTCATGGGAAAATGCAAAGAAAATTGCTTTTCTGTTTGAGAGACAACCTGGCACATCTAGTGCTTCTCATAGAAAGCACATCAAAAGAATGTCAGCTTTAATCAAAGGTGGAGAGTGAGAAGGTTACTATTATAATAGCAGTCTTCAGAAGGTCACCTATCTTTGGTGACAGCATTTCTCTCTCATATCCATGAGACCTTCAGGAGAAACAGTGAAACAAAATCACTAGTGAGGCTTTTAATAAAAACACGGGCTAAGACTAAGCTCTCACGCACACACTCAGTTTGGATGAAAGCACAACTTGCTTTCTCAGCAGCACTGACTGCTAATATCACAGGTAAAAATGGGGTAAGGTTTTTCCCTGAAGTGATAAAGGAGCTTGTTTAAACAAACAAACAAACATTTGACCAGCAATGAACTCAAGTGTTGTGATGGGAAAGATAATTGCAAGTTTGAACTTCTTGTCAGGGATCACCCAATGTGAGAGGCTGCTCTAGACAAAAGCTCGTTCACAGAGCAGTCTCCTGGGGTCCATCATACTCACAGTCACAAAGGTTTTAACCGGTGATTTCACAGAAAGGGAAGGGAAGGGAATTTTTTGAAAGAGGGTGGCAAATGGAGTGTATTCAGCTTTCAGAGCATCCAAGAACCCAGTGGAAGAGAAGAGTCCCTCCACTTTTCACTTAACTCCCAATGTAATGCTGTTTATTTCTGAATCACCTTGGAGAATCTCACCCTACAGTAAGGGAAGGGGAGCAAAACAGCTGTACTAGTTATGGAGAGCAAAAATATTTACCACTAAATGAGAAAATGACAATATTCTCCTCAACAATTGTTATGCTCTTACCTGGTAGTTATGGACTTCAGGAGTATTTTTAGCACTACGGGAGAAAAAAAAAATCAGCTTTAATGTCATCAATACATCTATGTCATAATTTCCTATAGTTCAGAGTTCTACTCTTCAAGGAACTGTTAGAGTGAAGTAAAACTCATATTCTGATGGACATCAATTCAAGATGTACACTGCAGCAATGAGGATGCAAGAAAGAAGAGTGCAAAATTTTTTTCTTCATTTTACATTTATGAAACAGGAACAAATAATGCTAGATAAGTTAGCATAATAGCAACAAGCAGAAAGTTAATATGCTTTACTTTAGTCTGATTTCAAATACAAAAAAAAAAAGAAAAAAATTAAAATGGAAGCACTTAACGTCTCATAGGCAGTCCCCAAGAAGAATTTGGTGCTGCATAATAAGAGATCTCAAAGCAATTCATGCCACACCAGAGAGTTTTTTAACAAATTCTAATGCAGAAATGGTCTTCAGAATCCTTTTTGCCTGACAACAGCAACTGAGAGGTAGAGAGAAGTGTGGGAGTCACTTACCACAGTTGTGCTGCTTTCACAGGATTGTTTGCTTAAAAAGAAAGAAATAAAAAACCTTAAGAAAGGTGAAAAAACCTTAAGACATGTGAAATATCAGTCATTTTGCAGCTACTGTGGTTGGGATGTTACACTACAGCTTAAGCGAATCCTCCTACAGACATATTTGCACAAAAGCATCAGAGCTGCAAGCGCAGCCCTGTGCTCTCTAGCATTCCTGTGTGAGTACATAAAGTAGGAGGCAGACACGAACCTCCCTCAGTTTCTGCAAGAGTCAAAGCCCATCAAAGATGACAGCAGGCAAGAGCATTCTTCCCAAATGTCACAAGAGAAGGACTTTTGGCAGAGTGAGTTCTGCACAACCACAGCACTACTTTCCTCACCTTGCTGTAGCTACCATGTCAATACCATTGAGTGGAGTGCCTTGGAAATCAGAAGCTACCCCTCACAGCAATTTTGCATCTTACAGAAACCAGACTATTCCTAAGTTGATAATGGCCTGCGTCTTATTACAGCAGTAGCCAAAAAAGCCCATCAAGTTGGGAATACGGGAAGGCACTGAGCAATCCTGAGCAACAAGGTCTTGGCCTGTGCTTTGGACAGGCTGGAAAGAACAGTGAAGAATGTAGTTGAGTAACTGGGATGTATGATTTCTTTTTCCTGACAAACAGCATAATTTTCAAGAGCATTGAAAAACTGCTGAGTGATACAGCTGAAAATCCAAGGCGTTGCTGAATGCAGAAAGTGGATGACAAACTTAATGAGACACTGTAGAAGTCTCAAAGAGACTGAGCTAGGACAGCATCCAACGCTTGTGGGCTGCAACTAGGTACAGGTCTTAATGGCCAAGAGAGGTGTGAAAGACAATAATCTAAAGGGAGTTTTTGCATTAACTTAACAAACGTGCTGTTGAGCTCTCTGGAGGGAGATCACCTGGGCATGCTACGCACAGAGAACTAAACTGAGCATAAGTCACACTTTTTTCTTTCCCATCTCACAGACATAAGTACAGAAGCACTGAGACACGAGGTATAACACACAGGTCTGACAGATCTTGTTATTGTAAAAATAAACTTTAAATAATCTATTCTTCCACTTATGAAACCATCCACACTTACCATATACTTGACTCTCATGTATCACATAACAGTATCTCACAAATTTAGTAAATTTGCATTTTGGTAAAAAAATAACACGTACTAAGGAAGCGGGGGTTACAGCCTCTGGAAAGCATGCATGCTTGCTAGTCTTTTCCCCCATTGTACATGAGAAATGAAAGTGCCCCCATAACACCACAAGGACTTTTCATGGAACTGAGGTTCTTATTCTAAGAACGTAAAGGAGTGCAAAGACATCCTGAGGGAATGTCAGCTCACCCTGCTCCATACAGCAACTACACCTCCAGCCTCAAGTAATACAGAATTTAGAGGGGGTTCTCTTGCAGTGCTCCTTCCTAGGTTTTTCTACAAGGAAAAAAAATCTCAGCTTAAGTTTTGAAGGATAAATGACAAAGCCACAAGGGAAATCAATTCCTTGTCATTCCACTCAAATTCAGCACATTTCAACTCCCAGAGAGAGCTGGTTAAGGTCAGAGTCTGGATAGGTGCATAACATGCCATTGCAGTCAGCAAAGCAGCAACAACTGCATAATAAGACTGCTCAATAACCCTAAAACTGTCTGGCTAGATAAGCAAGTCAGCAAGGCTTTTGGACACTGCTCCACTCCATATGACAAATGCACTTTTTCAAAGAAAACGTTACATGCTTTCCTTCATTGACTTTGATGCAACTTCTCTTCCTTCCTCAACAGAGCAACAAAAGAAACCACAGGTACCTCCTTCTCCATAGATGGGGGATGGAAGAATTAAGTGTAGACAAAGATTAAAAACAGTAAATACAAACAATGGACTGACTTCGGAAGAAAAAAAACACATGTGCATTCCAATTTTTCAGGTGGCCTGACTTGTTCTTCTTTTTATACTGTGGTACAGATTTTATGGTTGTAATATGACATTGACTGATTCAGTGAACACACATACAAAAACTTACCCTTAAAAGTTGAATGCCTTCGAGAAGGGTATCGCTTGCTGGGCCTTCTTTCAAATGTACTAGTTCTGCGTAATCTTGTCCCATGTGTCGCTTGATACTCTGTCCGCCCACTTAAAATACAGAAATAAACAAAGTTAAATCCTGCCTTTTTCTGGATGCTGTACCTCCTCCTTTGCATAAACACAAATATATTGCTGTTACTTTGCTAAATACCTGAATCTGAAGCGTGATCCCAGCCTTATGAAGTCAGATCTACTAGATTTACTATTTGCTGGGGCTCGCAATCTGAAGAAAGCATGGTGCTCCACTGCACACTTCCACAAATGTTTGCACGTTTTGGCACTGTCTAACCGGAAAACAAATGTGTGCTCTTGCTCTCTGCCCTAAATGCAGAAACAAAAGCTTTGGAAGTTGGCATGCATGGTATTAGTTACTGCCCTTGGTAGGACAAATACAGCCTGGGCCAAAAGTGGGCTGAGCCTCCCTTGTGTTCTTACCAGCTTGAGGACACACCACACTTTGTTGGATCAGGCCCAAGTAAGGAAAGAAAGTTACCTGTTCATCATCTTCTACAACCACAAGTGTTAGTTTGCTCTTTTTAAAGTCCATTTTTGTGATTTTAGGCCTAAACACAAGAAGCAAAAGGAAAATTCATGGAAAAACAATGTTTTGTAATCTAGGAGAATCCCCCAAAATGCATCAGTGATCTGCAATGCTGAAACACTTCAGGAATCATAATAGAATTATTTCCTGGAAATGTGACTATTTTTCAACAAAGTTTTCACATTTGAGAGTGGTACTTCTAACCAGGCCATTTTACCTTCAGATTTAACCTTGTAGATTCAATCTACATTACAAATTGTAGTCAAGATCCCATTATGTAAAGGAGAAAGGTTTCAGCATTTTAACAGAAGAGAATATAACACAGAAACAGATTACCAAAAGAATAAGCCTATTTTGTTGGCTCCTTCAAAGATCAATATGCCTGTCGGTGTCAGTCCAAGAGCATATTCACAACCATCTCTTCCCTGAAAGCAAGCACAGAATCAATAATCAATATGCCATTAGTAGTGCAAATCTTACTACAGTAGTATGTCAAAATCCCTAAGTTTTAAATTAAACAATGAGGTTTACATATTTTTTTAATATAACAGAGCAGAAGAATATGCATCTGTATTGGGTGCAAAGTGGCAGTTTTGGCAACAGGGAGCTGCAGGGTTCCTTGCACGGGAGGAGGCCACGTGCTGCCCCAGATGGCTCTGATGCCCATGGAAATGGCTTCGCATCAACACTGCGGCCACAGGCACGCACATCTCAGTTCACATGTGTTTAAGGGCAAGCAGTAGCTCCTGCAGGAGGGAGACACAAAAAGAAAAATTTGAGGGACATAGGAAAAGGCATGCGGAAAGGGACACTGTGGTGGACGTGGCTGGAGACACGCTCTTGGGAAGAGCCTCTCCCTGCAGGAGGAGGTCTTTCTGGGACCATGACCCAGGGGCAACCCCACCACAACAGGGACACCCCTGAGGGACTGACCCAGGGCAGGGACAGCCCTGAGGGACCGCAGCCCACAGAGAACCCCTACCAGGGCTGAGATGGCCTTGAGGGACAGCAGCCTGTGGGTGACCCATGCAGCAGCAGGGGAGCAGTAAGAAGCACAGATCAGCAGAGGAAAACGAATGAGAAGCAGGAAGCAGCACAAAGAAACTGTTGGGTGGATAACCTCAACCTTGCAGGCTGCCTTGGGAGGGACTGAGTGTAACCCACAGGGAAAACAAGGCGAGTTAACAGGAGAAAGAGGGGAGGAGAGGTATTGAACTGAAGTTGAGCTAGGGAAGGGGGAGGAAGGGTATTTCTGTGTTTGTTTTATTGTTGTCTTTTCTTTTTTTGTCAGTACCCAAATCAGTTATTAAACATTTATGTTAACTGACAGTATATTAAGTGAAATTCCCTGAGTCGAGATTGTTTTGCCTGAGACAGCATTTCCATTCAATGTTCTGACCCCACATTCATAAAATGAAGTATAACATGGATCTTACCTTAACGACATGCATATCTACACCATACATTTCTAGCCATTTAGCTTTGTTCAAGTAGCATAATTCGGCCTGCGCTGGGCTCTTTCCCCTAAGAACATAAAATTTATTTACACTTCACGGTAGGAAATTTTTGTCCATTTTAAATGTTTTAAAATTCTTTCCTCTAACCCTTTTCTTTGGGCCCTCAATCTTAATGACAATGAATGGTATTTCCAGCTCAGCTTATGTTTTCACCCTCTTCCCTCCAAATGAAAACAGATCAGAGGGACAAAAATTGAAAAAGATCAAAACTGCCAATAAAGGATGAAAGTTCAGGTAAGACAGCATCACCAAAATGTACCATATTTATTAATGAAAGACAGGAAAAACTATTTGCTACTACCCTGCTCACAAAACTTTATGTGTGCATGTGTCAGAGAGAATGGTTTCCAACTCACACAGAAAAAAGATGGGACTGCTTAAACTGTTATGAAATCACCTAAACAAACACAAAAAGAAAAACTCACCCTACTAATCTTCCCTAAATTACTGTTTGCCATTTCTGAAGAGGGGGAGGGCTCAAAGTCTGTCTAGAATACTTCTCAATTGACAAACATAATCATCATTTTATGGCTGCTGAAGGGGTTCCTGTGGACATACTTGACTTTGGAAGAGAAGAAAATCATCTGTTGCTAGAGACACCACTCCCACACAGGTACCCTACCTGCACTCTTTCCATTTCTGAAAAATGTCAAATTCCATTGCTTCAGTCTGGTTTGGTGCAAACCTGAATTCAGACACAAGTTCTGGCGAGTGCTCTGGGTGCTCACACTCTCCCAGCTCAGCTGCAATCAATTAGTTGAAAAGTTAAAATCATAAAGATAATGGGACCAAAAGGCAAGGACAATTTATAAGTTTCTAAGTACTGTAGAAGAATATACATATGCTGATGTTGTAAGTTAAAAAAAACCCAAAACAACCCAAAACCACAACACAAACTCCAACCAGATTGTACAGCAAAAAGTCAAATGCATTTGCAGGAGCAGTGTAAGATTATGGTACAGAATTCCGACATTTAAGAATACTAGAACTAAACCAGCTTAACTAAAGCTGCTTCTCTGGATTTTAGAAACTTTACGTCCTTTAAATGCTTTATTAAAAAAAAAAAAAAATCAGTGCACTACTGTTTCAGAAGAGGTTACTTTGAAACCTCCTCTCATTGCAATGAGGTCATACTTTTCATTCCAAAGCACTTCCCATTCTATTGCATGCTTTGTAACATCATTGTTCATGTGAAAACATGAAGATGATACCTAGTCTCAAGAAACCAGTGATAATGTGGTTTTTAAAACCACAGTGGTGGTGTAATACTCAGATTAAGTAATTTTTAAAGAAAGAAATGCTGAAGCATTAGCATAATTGCGGTGTCACTTTCTACTTATTTACTTAGGGCCTGGTATTACCTTTTCTAGGAGCAGGACACTTTCAAACTCTACTGAGCTCAGCAGGAGATGCAAGTGCTGAGCATCTCAGCGACTTATGCCCTTAACTGTCTTGTGCCTGCGACATACTTTGCTCCTGGAATCTCTCAGCTATACAAAGAGGCTGCAATGTCACTGCCATGGGACTGAGAGACAAACGTCAGTGGCAAATACACCGTTCAGCAATACCACATATCACCTGACACATGATGTGGTTCCAAACCAGTTGGTGTTTTCTGACTACTATTACTACAAAAAAAAAACCAAAACCCAACCAAAAAAACACCACACCAAAAAAAACCCCAAACAGTGCAAGCATAAAGGGAAATGAAATCCCTTGAAGAAAACAGTTTTATTGCTTCAGGGCAGTTTTACATGTAACACTTGCAAAATTTAATTAACTCTCAGTCTTCGAAATAACTAGCAGGATACATTAGCACATAGGAAGTTACATTCAAAATGCCAAAATGCAATCTCTTGACTGGTATACCTACTAGGTGGTTTTGAACACTTGAACTTTGCTCAGACATTTAGCATTCCTGAGGATATTGAACAGATTGAGTTCACTGTGTTCATTTCTAACTACTGCCTCACATGCAATTTTTTTCTCTTCAACAGTAATCTTCCATGGTGAGTTACAATATTCTTATCTATGTATCTTTTTCTTTAACGGAGATATCTCAGGTCTGCTGCTATTTTACCAAAGTTGGAAGCCTATTTAACACAGATGTTGCTAAGCATTACTGGCAGTCCAGTCTCCAGTATATAAAAGGGAGCCCCAACAAACAGATCAGCAAGGAGGACTTCAGGGAAAAAAAGTAAGAAACTGAAGTTTGATGTGTTGACAACCATCTAGGAAAAACACGGGAGATTTCTCTACCAGTTAACTGAGACAGAAGGCAGGGAATTAAGGCTGACTGTGCTGTAAAGAGGATGTATAAGCATGAGAAGAATCATGAGCATGTAGGACAAAAGATACACAGAGAAGCTAGGGCAGAAGTATTAGGTACAAGAAAAATATCACCCTAGTTTCTCAACAGCTGCACTCACTATTCACTGTCAGGCAAACAAATGATGTCTTCACTTTGATTTCTAAGAAATAGGTGAATATTCTCATTTGAAAGAAGGAAAGAATTACTGTAACAGAACAACTTCCTTGATAAAGAAACTGTATGAAGTTTAAAGCTGTCCTGTAAAGAGAAAAGGCCTTCCAGAGGGTTAGAGCATCAGTTCTTAAATAGCATTTTGTAACTTCTTCCTCACTCTTAGGAAAGCAACACTAAGGAGCAAGATTGGATTTCACAGAGTACATGTAACTTACTGAGGAGGGAATAACCATTTGACATTTCTTTAAACTCTTCTGCTTAATTAAGAGCTTCCAATGACAATAAAATGTGAGAAATGTTATAAAAATGCTAATTATAGCTTATGCCAGCAAACATAAACAAATTAGCTGCAATAATAAAATAATTTCAGAGAAACTTATTGTGATAATGTCAAAATAGATGAAAACAAACTGAAAAAAAGACAGCAGGAAAGTATAAAAATGCCACCATGATTTAAATATGTTACCACAGAGTCAAGAAATGTTAGTTTTTATACCCAGTTGGAGACATTAAAAACAGGATGGAAGGCTATTGTATTACATTTACTTAATAATCACAGGTGTCAGCACCCAAAACGTTGAGGCACCAACTTATTATTCTTTGCTTGGTTCTCCTTGCTTAGACCAGCTGTGAGGGTACTGGTGTTTTTATCTGTGAAAATGGAATTAATGAATCAAATAGAGGCTCCAGATTTTCTCCACCTCAAAAAGAAAAACGGAGTTTGCCTGCAGCAGTTCTTTGCACACCTAACAATCACAGCAGTGCCAGACTGCTGCAAATGGAAACTGAGATAACTCACTGCCTTAAGATTTACACCTGTTACTGTTTGGAACTGAAATCCCAGTTTTGACTGTCAAGTCCACCTAGAATCACCGAGTTATCTCCATTCCTGTATTAAACTAAAAGACTCTTCCAAAGCACTCCATGTGCCATTGCCAGCCACCAGCAGAACAGGAAGAGTATTTTTCCTTTTGATTCATTTTGCTGCTGATATGTCTAGAATGGCTCAGATCACTGCACTTTCTTTTAGGAAAAAAATGAACTTGATTTGAGCTTCATTACACACGTTTCCTTCCCATCTGCAAAATAAACTGCCTGAAATGGAACGAATATCTGTATTAACATGTTTGCAGCAATAAAAAAAAGAAGTATTTTCCCACAATAAACTAATGAAATCTAGTGTCCTGTTTTTTGAAAATTTTGTAGCCCTTGTTCCTGACACAGAAGTAATCTTAGTTCTTACCTTTCCCTGTAATTCTCTCCCCTCCAGTACATGCCATCCCCTCCCTCCTGCCCTGTAACCATCTCTTCAGTCACACACCACAGAGGCTGCTCTCCCGAGCACTGGACGGGCAGCAGGCAGCCCATGTTCAAAACTACAGCTGTAGGGATCTGCCTGCCATAAAGCATGTGCTGAAGGGCCAGCTGGGTCTTCAGGCTGAAGAGGTAACACTGTGCACACACCACAGCTTCTCCCTCAGCGAGGAACTATTTGGGGTCTTTCCTTCCCGGTCAGCCCCTGGTTTCCATGAAACCTCTGTCTATCCATGCCTTGGAGACTCCCTCTCCCTGCCAAGTGTGCTGACATTGCCTAATGTGGGTTCAGAAGTTAAGAGTGGAGGGAAGGCAGGAAACTGATCTCCCTAAAACTCTTTTCCTCAGGTAAAGAAATGCCATTTATATATGATCAGTGAATGAGAAATCATTAGTATCAAAGAGTGAAAAGAAAATAGTAGGTGAGTTTTTTAATACATTAAGACAAATCACTTTCAAAAGACTGCATACCTTGAAGACACAGAGCCGCTAGTTCAACAGCAGTTTCATACGGGCATTTCAGTCTTAAAAAGAGAAAAAAACCAGAGCTATAAAAGTCATGTCTTTTTTCTCAGCGAGTTCCTCTTGCAGTAAAGCTAAAAAGTACTCTGATACATGAAATGGAAACATTAACTTTCACAGCTATTAATGATACGAAACATTCACAATTAATTTTTACTTGCATATGATTATTTCCTAATTTGGTACATTCTAATTAGCACTAAACAGATGATATGCTCCACCACAAAACAAGCTTGAACTAATAGAGACAACATTAAATCAACTAAGAAACCATTCTTTCTCCAACACTATAGTTCAGAACATGGTGTTTTGAGTTTTTTTCTTTTTGTACTTAAAAATAACAGAGCAGGTATGAGTTTATTGGCCAGGGCGAGACTATAAACACACAAAATACTTTTGCAGGGTTTTCCTGCACAGAAAGTGCTGCACTTCATCATCTTTTCCTCCTCTATTTTACCTAGCACACTGAAAAACAAGGCAAGCCCATGTTACATTTTCAAGTCACAAAAATCAGGACAGTCTTTGCTCTCTTTATACATTTCCATCACCTGGTCAATCAATCAAAGGTCTTTACCCATTCTATTTGTCAATAACATAGTCATGATGCACACAAATCCATATATCTCTATTCTGAAGGAAAAAAATGCACATGGAACTGTAAACCATGTTTATAATCTGTGCACAAATACCATAAACAATTAAAATGATCACGCAGTTAAAGTTTTAAATCACTAAGAGATTAACTATTACAAATACTTTAAACTACAGCTGCAAGAGCAAAGAGGTACTTACTTCCCTGAAAGAATGTCTTGCCGGAGCTGTAATACAAACAGGTACCTGACAAATAAAAATTCAGAAAGTCAAAGGTATATATAATGTCATCTTTCTAGCCCCAATGGCTGGAAAAATATTCCAATTCATTGAGTAGTCACAACATTTTCATTAACTTGCTCTTACAAAAAAGGGCCTTTGGGATCACTTAGATGCAACCTGCAACCTTCAAAGTTCCCATAGGTTTCACTAAAATCAAACAGAAGAGAACATTTTTCACCTACTGGCTGTGTTCAGGACATTGCCCAAACCCTTGCTGTTTAGGGATGTGGTCTACTCTGAGCACACACCACAGCAACCTAAATGTTACTGACATTCCAATATTCTCCTCCACTGGGTCTTGCCCAAGAATTCAATTAGAGGACCTAGAGACAAAACACAGATAAAGGCATGAAGACTTCAGGGCTACCTTCTCGAACAGACATACAGAACACGGAAAAAGTCCAAACTAGGCAAAAGGAAAAGCTGAGACTGAATTTTCACTTAAATAGCAGAAAAGTTCTGAATAAAAGAAACCTGAATTCCACAGAGCCCACACATTCACTTGGTATCCTAAGTAGGAGTTTACAGCCTTCAAACCATAGTAGTATTTTAAGCTCTTGCTAATTTTCAGTCCTAGGCATGCTTCATGTTTTACAGCCACTCAGAGCTGGGGTTTGAGGCATGCAGAAGTGCCCCACGCCATGCAAGAGCTCTGCACAGGACAGGATGGCACAGGCAGGCTCTGCACTGCTCTGGACATTGCGGGGTGAGGCTTGCAATGATGAGTGACTCAAGAGAAGAAAGCATAAAGCACTACTGAGAGTCAACCCAGTAAACGTGAATGCAAACCTCCCCTATCTTTAGAAAGGATGCTAAAAAAACAAAGTGTTGTTCATCACAGAGGATGTGCTGTGAACGTGGTGAAGGATGAATAGTTGGAATCAGACAAGAAAACAGAAATGAACAGGAAGATTAGAAAGACTTCTCATGATAACACTAAAGCAGAATCAGATTTATCCATGTCAGCTCTGTGTCACATCTCTGATTCACATACTTGGCTAATATCTGACTTGCCAATCAAACCCGGGTGTTTGCGTGCATAGATTAAGGTGTAGTGCTGCAGCTCTGTGCTGGTTGGCATGGCTTACTTTTGCTCCTTTTCTGCACACAGACTGACAAGCATCGGCATCTCAGTTGTTGATATTCCTCAAATCAGCAAAATAACTTAGAAAATTCTCCTCAACACACATATACAGACGTATTCCTCTGTTGTTTTTCTAACTGAACTAACTAATCAAGTCCCACAGAAGTGACAGAAGATGTCTTCCAAAACGCACTAGATTTCAACCTGTGTTTTTATATTGGAAAAAGACAAGAGTGGGTGAAGGGTTTCAACACTTCTCCATTACTGTGCTAATTATAAGAATGAGATGTTTACAGCTTCACTAGAAACTGGAGTCTACTAGAAAACAGGTCTCCGCAAGGAATTCCGAACAAGCCCCCCAACCAGGCCAGTCCATGGTTACTGTTAATGATCATATTTCTTTCTCCTCTTAACGCCCATTCCACTTCCACTTGGAATAATTCTGAGCGTACAGTTGCTAATCTTTACTTTTTACTCAGCATGCTACATGGAAAATATGATCCAGCCAGCATAAAGATTCTTAAAAAACCAGCAACATTCAAAATTACTTTCCCCAACCAAAAAGAAAAATGCAACTATTTGTTCACTGTAAAATCAATTTCCAGCTCATTTTCATTTTCCTTCCATAGTTTCACAGTGGTCTTCTGTCAAGCTTATAATTTAAAAAAAATTGTTCATAACACTGAAAATTTAGCTGACTAAAGTGTTTTTCTAATTAAAATAGTCTTCTGAAATGCCACCTTTCAGCAATAATTAGATCACAAAGCATCACAGGCTAATACTTTGAGAGGAAATGTCTTACTCAATCACAGCAATGATCACATAGCTCAGAAACACACATCTCACAGTGAGTAGGATCATATGCTTCAGAGGATGAAGCAAGAAATCTTGTGGTAGACAGTAATGGAATAATTTGACCACAGGGGAAATGTAATACTTGTCAGACATGCACCCTGATGTATGAAGACTTACATCAATTTTCAGAAAATATATATTATTCCTACTAATTTAACTGCATTTTCTCACTAGAGATGCCCAAAAGTCATCCAGGTTTTTGGATTCTCTAAGATCTTATGCTCAATTACATAAGTGGCAGGGAGTTCTATAGGTTAATTATACATTGTATAGGAATATGCCCTTTTATTGAATTAACACTGCTGCACTAAATTCATAATGTATATTAAAGCCTCCATGTCAGTCTCATAAGGTGGTGACAATTAGCTCTCTGATCTTGTCTCAGGTAGTGAAAAAAATACATGGTCAACACAGCAGATATGAAAGGAGGAAGTAAACATATGCCTGCAGGCATAAGTTTAATGTAAACATCACATGCACAAGAACTACAGCAATCAACACTCTTTAAACACCTTAGGCTGATTGGGAGTACACTGATTATTGCCAAGCAAATCAGAAGACAGCAAGTGCCCTACGGTGAGAAACAGAACAACAACAACAAAAAAAGATAAAATAACATTAAGATAGATGATTACTATACAAAGAAGACACAAAGTTGGCAGATACAAAAGGTAAGTAAACCCTTTTCTTCCAACTGCTCCTTCCCCAATTTTCAGAATATCCTCTAAATCACGCCAGGGTGCTAGGAACCCAGCAAGGTATAGTCCTCACAGCCTAGAAAACAGCCCACCAGACTGAAACAAAAGACCTCCAGGTATTCTAAGGTGACTTTATATGATGCAGTCTTTACACCTTTTGCACCAGAGAGAACTCATGGGGAAGTGGAAGAGATTCAACCAACCAAATGTTAAGCATGAACTCAAGCTGTCTATTCCCACAATTCTGTGGCTTTAGTACCATTATTAAATCACCCCCAAGTCTCAGAGGAAGGCAGACAAAGCAGAGCACTGGCATTTTAGCAGGACACAATGGAAAATCCTCTCAGAGGTATGGCAGGTGTCGCTGGTGTAAAGAGCAGCTGTCTCTCAGCCGCAGCTCTCCCCACCCAGCGCTGCCTTTCTTTGCTAACTTCAAAGAACTAGAATACAGCATGTCCTACAGATTAAAACACTCGGAGAGGCCCATGAATGGTTTCTGGCAGCAAAAAACCCCAAAGATGTTTCTCTGGCAGTAGGAAAACACCTAAGAAATCAGACAAAATGACCGCTCTTAGTAAGAAAGCTCCAATCACCTGCTGACAGTATCCCCATCTACCTTAGATGTCTTATTTACCCCTCTGCCAGTCACCCAGTTAACCATGCATAGTTCCTACCTTGTAAACTCCTCATGAAGGTTGTTTGGTTCCGATGAATAGTATTTAATTCGAAAATGCAACGTGTACGGAGGTCCAACTGTACATGCAGAGATTTTAAATGGAGGAAAAAAAGTTTACACTAGTTGCAGTTCTGCTAAAGCAGAACAACAGACACCACCCCACAAGCCAAGAAACCCAAAATGAAGTATGTTTTTCAAATTCCTCAAAGCAGCAAATATTTAATGTTTTTAATTTTACAAATGCATGCAATAAAAAATATTAGATGATTACCATACTTTATGATATTCTAATAATTAGGTTAATCAAGCAATAGTCCATTTGGCAAACACATTTTTGTTCAAAGAGGTGTGCCCTGCAGCATGCTGTGAACGACAGCAAGTTCCACGTACACTGCCTGTTGCTGGGGGCAGGGGGAGATGGAAGGGAGAGGAAGGGAGCGGGTGATGCTTCTTGTAACCAAGCACAAACACAACTTCAAAAAACAACCCCAACCAATAGATCAGCTTTCGATTGATACACGTGAAGAGGAAAAGGTATGACAAATAAGGTAAAAAGTCCTTAAGAGGACTCTGGAAGGCACCCATGAACACAGAAAGCTAAAAAATTCCACAAAATGGAGTTGCAAGAATTGTCATTTTCTAATGCCAGAAGGTTCTAATGCTAGGTCTGACTTTCTGTGTAACACAGCTAATAAAACGTTACCCAGCTACCATGAGACTGTGACCAATGCATCCTCAACTGCCTAAGCCTCATCTTCCAGACGAACAGCCTACTGGTATATTAAGTGTTGAAAAAAATTACTCCTTTTCCACCTTTCTAAGGTCTTCTGTAACACCACATCAACGCAGTTTATATATGCCTATTAATGATGCATTTTACTAAATGACATGCAGCCAAAACTCTAGTAATTAGAGCTTCAACACTGTCTCCAATGATAGCTCCTAGAAGACAGGAGCTGGCTGTCTCCTGATTTGAAACAGCCAGCATGGCTTCACCAAAGGAAAGTCCTGCCTGACCAACCTAGTGGCCTTCTATGTGGTCAGTGGACAAGGGAAGAGCTACTGATGTTGTCTGTCTGGACTTCTGTAAGGTCTTTGACATGGTCCCCCACAACATTCTTCTCTCTAAATTGGAAAGAGATTGGACTTGATGGGTGGACTGTTGGGTGGATAAGGAATTAACTGAATGGTCACATCTAGAGGGTAGTGGTAAACGGCTCAATGTCCAGATGGAGATAAGTGACAAGTGGTGTCCCACAGGGGTGGGTATTGGTACCAGTACTGTTTAATATCCTCAGTGACAGAGGGATTGAGTGCACCCTCAGCAAGTTTGCAGATGACACCAAGCTGAGTGGTGCGGTTGACATGCCTGAGGGACGGCATGCCATCCAGAGGGACCTGGACAAGCCTGAAGAATGCACCCATGTGAACCTCATGAGGTTCAACAAGGCCAAACACAGTTTGCCCCTGCACCTGGGCTGGGGCAACTCCCAGTATCAATACAGGCTGGAGGATGAAGGGTTAGAGAGCAGCCCTGCAGAGAAGGACATGGGGGTACTGATGGATGAAAAGCTGGACATGAGCAGGAAATGTGCACTCGCAGCCCAGAAGGCCAACCATATCCTGGGCTGCATCCAAAGCAGTGTGGCCAGCAGGTCAAGGGAGGTGACTCTGCCTCTCTACTCTGCTCTGGGGAGACCCCACCTGGAGTCCTGCGTCCAGCTCTGGAGCCCTCAGCACAGGAAAGACATGGACCTGTTGGAGAGGGTCCAGAGGAGGGCCACAAAGATGATCGGAGGCGTGGAACACCTCTCCTATGAGGACAGGCTGAGAGAGTTGGGGTGGTTCAGCCTGCAGAAGACTCCAGGAAGACCTTATTGCAGCCTTCCAGTACTTAAAGAGGGCTTCTAAGAAAGATGAGGACAGACATTTTAGCAGAGCCTGTTGCAATAGGACAAGGGTTAATGGTTTTAAACTAAAAGAGGGCAGATTTAGACTAGATAGAAGGAAGAAATTTATTATGATGTGGCTGGTGAAACACCGGCACAGGTTGCCCAGGGTGGTGGTAGCTGCCCCCGTCCATGGAAACATTCAAGGTAGTGTTGGATGGGGTTCTGAGCAACCTGGTCTGTTTGAAGATGTCCCTGCCCATAGCAGGGGGGTTGGACTAGATGACCTTTAAAGGTCCCTTCCAACCCAGAGCTATGCTATGATTCTAAGACAGGTTATAGTACCCTAGGCTGACAGTTAGGCACCACTGGTAAGGTATGCATCAGCAAGCTAATAACTCTTACCTGCCCACTGCTGAGGGAAAAAAAAAAAAGCAGTGAGCAACATCCATCATGAAAGAGCAACCCTTCTTAAAGCACCTGCTGAAGGCAAGGTAAATAAAGTATCCTGTTGTGAGACAGACCTTTAACAACACTCATCAAATTGCTTCCCTCTTCGTCATTCCTCAGGGCAGGGCTTGGCCAATTTCTTTTTAAAACAGGCCCTTCACAGATTAAACACAGACAAAACAGTGCAAGGAAACTGGTTGAAGGTGTTACAGAATCATTGATTTTACACATTTTAAGACAGATCAAGAAAAGGACAAAGCTATCGCGGGAAGTGCACCTGCAAATCATTTAGTCACTTACGGTAAAGCAATCTGTGATGTGATGAAAAGGTCAGAGAAAGCCAACCACCAAAACCTTACCCATAGCAGCTATCTTTACCATCTATTCTAGCAGACTGACACCCACACACCCTGGCATGAAAGAAAACTGTCCTAAAGGCCTTTGAAGAACACCACCATTTACAAAAATCGTCTAGATATTTGGATACTTATCAGAAAGAAAGGCAAAGCACCACTAAAGCAATCAAGACCCATCTCTGTGAGGTCCTGCAAGGGGGTCAACAATTTCCTTGCAAAATGCTACATGTTCATCTCACAGAAGTGATATTATCAGTTGGCCTATGGCTGTTGCCAACTACAGTATATTAACAAAACACCTTAGTGCCAATGCTATACTGTATCCAAGCCTGCAACAAGGTTATTAGAGACCCAGGAGCACTTGCCCGCCTTAGCCAATTCCCACAAAAAACCTCAGTGGCCAAACCTAAGCCCTCCACCCAAAAACTCCCTTTGATGAAAGAGCAGGTATTTCTGCTAGTTTTATTTATAAACAAACACACACACACGAAGTTAACCAGTACACAATAAAATATTTTCCATTTACCCTTTGGGAAAAAAAACATGAAATCTGTTCTCGATCAGAAGCACTGACAGAAACTGCAATCTGTGTCCAGACAACCTGATTTCACAGATCAGACCCAAATTACCAGGCAACATACTTTGCCTTGGACAAACCACACATGTTTAACGAGGGCTACTGAAGGCTGGTCTATGGCTTATAAGTGCTCCTGCACTTCAACATGAGATAGTCAGCCAAGGCCATATTTAAACATTCCCAATCATGTTCAAATACTCTAAGTTCAAATTCTTAAGGAAGTAACAAAACAGAGACATGGTACTTACTTTTTATTTGCTTCTTAATGAATTTTGAATGGTCCAGCCAGTGCTAAAAAAAGAAAATCCACATTTAGAAGCAGTTCCATTTCAAGATTTTATTAACACAATAAACTAATTACAGTAAAATTTAACAGATAAAAATCTCTTAAAAGTGTTTATTTGCACATTTACCAACTTACCTTCTTTCAGGGACAAAAGCTTGACTTACAAGTGCCTCGGTACTGCCAGGGAAGTTTCACTCTTCCAGAGAGGAAACCTCAAAATCTGAAGCCACAAAGCAGTGGTGTGTATGGAAAATATCCTTTTGTCCCCAGGTTTAACTGTTGCTGGAATGCCCCTGAGGACAGCAGGCCAAACTCCTGGATTTCATTCTCCTTTCAACTTCCCTGTTTGATGGAGACCCTCCAGATCCTGTTACTGTTCTGCCTTCCATTGCTGCATAGCCAAGTTTTTTCAAGACAAGGATGAAGACTTAATCCCCACTAAAACCATCTGGGACACACTGATGAACACTTCCAGCAAAGTTTATGCAGTCTCTCATCACTGCAAGTTGCATCTACAGAAGAGCAGCAATAAACACTCTCTGATGTAAACTTAGCTCAAATCTTCAACTGTCTCTGCGCAATGCCCTACACAAAGCTGAAATCTGATTTGAAGCAACCCCATGTAAATGTTCCTGTCACACAAGGTAACAAAAAAGTATTTGTACTTCTTTGAAATAAATGTTTTTCTACCTTTATATATATATTTATTTTAAAGTAATAAACTAGGTACTATGGGAAAAAAAATTTAGAAGAAAAAACCTCTTCCTTCCTCCCTATTAAAGCATTCATGCTTTTAGAAAAAGGAGAATCTCTGAATGACTAGTTATCATTCCATGAACACCATGCTACTGTGGCTAAATAAATGTGAAAAATTATTTGTTGGATAGTAATGCTGGTATTTATTTACTGAGTAAGTCCTAAGGCAAGGCAAAAATTTATTTATCACAGGTAGAGAAGTGTATAGATTCAAAATCTGACAACTTATGACCCTTAAGGTAAATAAATCTCAAGAAAAAAGGAGAGAGAGAAAGAGTAATGGAACAATTATTCTGAAAGCGCTTTTATTTGCCTGAGACTTGCTAGACTCCCTTAGGTGAGGCTGCCAAGGAATACATCCTTACAATCTGAGAAATCTCTACCGGAGTGGATAGAAAACATTACAGCAGCTCATACAAATACATTCCTTAGAGTTGCAAGTAATTTGTTCTCTCTCTACTTTGCTCTCTTATGAAGAATGACACCAGAAACCACAGCAGTTTACAGAATCTTTGTGAAACTTCAAGTTTTTGATAAGGAAACAATATCAACATTGAAACTTGGCTTTTTTTACTGAAATTATACAAGTCTCTTACTTTCACATCTCCAGGGCAGATGAAGTTTTAATGCTTCAAACACCTAGCTACAAAAATGTCTTTCTCCTCAATATTTATTTTGGCTAAAGATAAGCCACTCACAAATATACCAAATCCGTTACAAGAAAAGTTTAGCTTCATGGTAAATAAAACCAAACATGCGTAACATCTATACTACAGGCAAAAATCCTCCAATAACTTTTCATGCCTGGCTCATGTTAGTACAATGTTCAGAAATAAGCACCCCACAACCTGAACTACAGTAATTCCCAATGAAATAACAGCTCATAGTCCCAATCTTGGAATGTGGAGTTTTAGGTGTATTAAAACTCAAATAAAAGCAAGTTTCAAGCTGATTATTCTTAAGTGTAAATACTTCAAAGAAGGTTTAAAAATAACTAACAAGACTCTAGGACCTACTTGCACAGACCATTAAATGAGACTATAGCCTAGATGGGAAACTTATCATTCATTTTCTGTACCCAAGCAGACAGAGACAGACTGCTCCAGGAGATAAAACATAGCAGGCTTTAAACTCATCTCTCTTCAGAAGCAAGAATGTGCTGTTGTTTTACCCCCATCCCACATTGCACATCATGGCTGTGTGTGATGTGGCCACCACACAGATCACAAAATAAAAACACAGAGGTAGGACATGGACTGGCAATATTATTGGCCCAGAGTTCCCAGCTCTGGCAGATATTTTGTGCAACTTCTGTGAAAATCAGGCTGCATTTCAACATTCCTTTGCCTCAGATAGTGCCAGAGGGCTTCTTCACACTGGAAATCAGATTAGCTTTTCAAATATCCCTCTGAGCTCAAAAATTTTTGCCATCCTTTTCCTCCGTTTCACCTAAATTGTCCAGACAGTTGTTGTAAGCAGGAACACAATATGTGTGTCAAGAAAAGCTAGTCTTGTCTTGTGGGGTAACAAAGGCCACAATTGAGAGCTCTGAAGTGTTGAACACCTTGAAGGTGTAGAAAGTGATGTCAAAAACACTCGTCAATGAATCAGAAAAAAAGCCTCCAAAAAAATAAGAGTTGAAAATTTCATTGCATTCTAGCTAAAGCCAAAAAAAAAAAAAAAGTCTGGACTTGGCCACATACTGCTTGCTGACTCAAGAACAGGGAAGTGAAAGCAATGAATTCTGAAGTCTCACTGAATGAAACCAGAGGGGACTTTTGCTCTGTCAGCACCTATGACTGCAGCTCAGCCTATCTTGGGCTCTGGTTAAACAACTGTACATCATTTCAGGATCCAAACTTATCAAAGAAACTTAATTATGGATCTCACAGTGTAAGGCCGAAAGTGACCACAGCCATTTCAACTATACAATGCCACATTCCCCATAGCCAGTCTATACTAAAAATATCAGTACAGAATGAGGAAGAGGAAAGGGATTAATTGGTTTAGGACTGTGTTATGATAGGAAGACAGCATTTAAGCTACTTTGTCCACAGTAAGGGAAAGAAAACCCCAAACCTTGTCAAACTGCAGGTAATCAAGATTCTATGATTACTTTAGAAGAGAACAGAATGGAATAAATAGTTCAGTTGGAAGGGACCTACAATGACCACCTAATCCACCTGCCTGACTGCTTCACGTTATCAAAGGCATTGTCCAAATATCTCTTAAACACCGACAGGCTTGGGGCATCGACCACCTCTCTAGGAAGTCTGTTCCAGTCTTTGACCACCCTCTTGGTAAAGAAATGCTTCCTCATCTCCAGTCTAATCCTCCTCTGGAGCAGCTTTGCACCATTCCCACACATCCTATCACTGGATCTCACGGAGAAGAGCTCAGCACCTCCCTCTCCACTTCCCCTCCTCAAGAAGCTGTAGAGAGCACTGAGGTCACCCCTTTAATTCTGTCAGGTAAAGTGGAAGTTCAAATGCTGGATTAACTTCCATTTATTCCTGTTTAATCTCAGTATAATTTCTTTGCTTTGCCAAATGAACGTTTCCTATGGTATTAACTGACATAAACCAGTAGACACTGTTTGGGATTAATGTGTTGAAAACACACACCAATCAATTCCACATGAAAGAAACACCATTTTAAAAAAAGACTTCTTAAAATACTGGAAGCACATATTTATCTCGAAAAGCTCTCCTGTTGATCACTCACTAACTGAAAAGGAAAAAATAAGTACCTCAACACTTCGTAAGTGGTAGCAACTAGTGCTTTCTCAAAATACACAGCAAGGGAAAGATGTATGTGTGTCATGTTAGAGCAGATAAACTATAGCTACTGGAGCAGTCTCCATAAGAACAGTGACTGCCAAATGAAGACTGAAAGGAAGGGTATCAGAGGTTGACACAAATCCATCACACACCTGAACTCTGCATATTCCAACACCACACTACGTGCTTCCTGAAAGAATGAAAAACCTTTGTGTTGGTCTATACAGGCCTCAAATGTGACCTGCAAAGACAAAAAATGGCATTTGACCCTTGGCTTGCTTT